GAAGCAGCGTGGGGAAACCTGTCAGCTGTCGCATTGAGCAGAGAATAAAGGGGACAGACTCCAGTCTCTGTCGTGTCCACAGACTTACACTTCATTGTTTATGGAAAAGAACAGAGGTAGCCCAGAGACGGGGTCCACCCGATTTCCAGCCGGGGCTGTGTGCGTTACTCTGCGCGCCGAGTGGGTGAGGGTGATGCTGGCTGGTGAACCCCGGAACTGCCGTGGCTCAGCACGGGGCTCCTTTCTTCTTCGGTACACCCAGCTTCCGTGGGGGATCTGCCTCGCCACTCACCAGAGTGCAGGCTGACGGGCTCTACGGTGTCAGCCAAGGGTGCTCTGGGTGCTGGTGTGGACATGCAGCTGGTCGGAGGGTTATGCGAGAAAATGGGGCGTCCCATAGGAGGTTTTCCTGGACCAGTGGGCCCGGGGGTGCCCACCTCACATCTGCCGGCTCTGCACTAAGTTCTGGTCAGCTCAGCCACCTGGCCCCAGCCAGCTGCACCGGGAACTAGAGTCCCTGGCTGGGCAGCCACTTCCCAGTGACAAAAATTCTTTTTTTTTTTTTTTTATCCTCACCCGAGGACATTTTTCCATTTTTTGTTCAGGCAGAGTAGGAGGGGGAGAGAGGAACAGAGAGAGAGAGAAACATCGATGTGAAGGGACACATCGAGTGGCTGCCACCCGCACGACTGACCAGAGCCGGGGACAACCTGCAACCGAGGTACGTGCCCTTAGCGGGAACCGAACCCGGGTCTCTCCGGACCGCAGGCCGATGCTCTAACCGCTGAGCCAAACCGGCCAGGGCCCAGTGACAAAAATTCTGCAGGCATTTCTCATAAGCTCAGTGTCTGACACATAGTGAGTGTTCAGTAGAACACAAAGTGTCTTAGCGACATTGTATCTGGCAGGCACTGTCCAAAGCGCATCATATATATCAGCTGATTTTAACCTCATAGAAACTTGCTAAAATAGTTATTATTAAGAGCTCCAGCCCTGGCTGGTATGGCTCAATGGTAAGAGCATTGCCCGCAGACCAAAGAGGCCTAGGTTCGATTCCGCCCAAGGGCACGTACCTTGGTTGCGGTTTGTCCCTGGCCCCAGTTGGAGTTGTGAGTGGCAACCAATCGATGTGTGTCTCTCACATCGATGTTTCTCTCTCCCTCCCGCCATCTCTCCCTCCATCTCTATCTGAAGATTAATGTAGAAATATTCTTGGGTGAGGATAAAAAAAAAGAGCTCCATCTGCTCCACCTTACAGATGACGAAACTGAGGCCCAGTGCAGTTTAGTGACTTCACACAGCAGTAAGTGAGGGAGGCAGGACTCAAACCTCGCAGCCTGGCTTTAGGACTCACTCACCTAACCACCACTTGATATAGCCTCTCCTGCCCAGCCGTTGTGACTCAGTGGTGGAGCGTCAACCCAGGCACCAAGAGGTCGCTGGTTCAATTTCCCGCAGGGCACATGCCCAGGTTGTGGGCCCGATCCCCAGTGGAGGTGGCCAGTCTATCTCCCTCTCTCTTCCTTCATCTTTCTCTAAAAATCAATAAAGAAAAAGTTATATATATATAAAAGAAGATACTGCCTCTCTCTACAAATCCATGTTGACTCGAGCTGAAGTGGTTTTTACGGGAGTCTGGACATTCATGGAGCCCCTGCCACCTGCCAGGCACTAAGTTCTGCCCCCAGCCCCAGGTTCCTGTGGCATTGGCACAAACTGTGAGCTTCATCTGGTCCCCAGGTCTGGTCCCATACCTGGCGCATGGGCCGTGCTCAGTACACATTTCTCAGTGAATTAAAAAGAAAAAAAGGGATGCTAGAGAGCAGAATGAATCAGATATAATTCTTGCCTGTAGGGAGCTCAGAACTGGGAGGAAAAAACACTTAAAAATTGATTATAATGACTTGTGGGTAGTGTGACAGGTGGACAAGTTCACAGGAGGCCACCGAATGCATAAGTAGGCGTCTGAGTTTCCTGCGGCTGCCATGACAACGGCCACAAACGGGATGGTTGGACAACAGAAATCTGTGGTCTCACAGTTCTCAAGACCAGAAGTCCAAGAGCAAGCTGCCGGCAGGGCTGGTTCCCTCCGAGGCCCCGAGGGAGGGTCTTTCAGGCCTTGCTCCTCGTTTCTGCTGGCCTCAACTGCTCCTTGGTTTACAGTTGACATTCTTTCTGGGTCTTCACATCATCTTCTTCCATATGTGTGTCTTCAAATGTCCTCCTTTTATTTATTTTTAATTTTTGTTCTTTATTGATTTTTAGAGAGAGTAAGGGAGAGGGAGAGAGAGAGAAACATCGATGAGAGAGAACATGCCTCGTGTACGCCCCCCACTGGGGATCGGGCCCACACCTGGGGCATGTGTCCTGACTGGGAATTGAACCAGTGACCTCTTGGGGCAAGGGTCGACACTCAACAGCTGAGCCACACTGGCTGGGCTCAAATATCCCCTTTTTATTTATTTAGTTTTTATTTTTATTTTTATTATTTTTTTATCCTCACCCGAGGACATTTTTCCATTTTTTGTTCAGGTAGAGTGGGAGGGAGAGAGAGGAACAGAGAGAGAGAGAGAAACATCGACGTGAAGGGACACATCGAGTGGCTGCCACCCGCACAACCGACCACGGCCGGGGACAAACTGCAACCGAGGTATGTGCCCTTAGCGGGAACCGAACCCGGGTCTCTCAGGACCGCAGGCCGATGCTCTAACCGCTGAACCAAACTGGCCAGGGCCAAATATCCCCTTTTTAAAAGGACATGGTCATGCTGGTTAGGACCCACCCTAATGACCTCAACTTGATCATTTATAAAAACCCTATTTCCAAACAAGGTCACATTCACAGGTATTGTGGGGTAGGACTTCAACATCTTTTAGGGGGCACAAGGCACCTTTATTGAGCACCTACTGTGTGCTGAGCACCATGTCTGCGTCCCGGGCGATACAGCAGTGGACAGGACGGGCAGCGTCCTCACAGCTTTCGTTGCAGCGGGAGCGCCAGGCCGCAGACTGTGCCCCTTCCAGGGAAGGGCGTGTGCAGGGTAAGGGGACACAGCCCAGTGGGGAAGCCGCGCCGTCGAGGCCCACACCCTCGATGACCTGATGAAGGACGAGGTCTCCTCACTCATCACGCAGCATCCACCTGTGCATTCAGTGACTCCTTGGGTTACTTACTGAGCATCCACCTGGCTTGGCTCAGGGGCCGTCAAGGTGATGGACACGTACCCTGGTCATCACCTGCCTCTTCACCCTCCTTTCTGTGCACGTGCTCCATCCTCTCTGGAACGCCCTCCCCTGCCCCGCTCATGTCACCTGGCCAGCTCCTACTGCGGGGTGCAGAGACTGCAGGTGCAGCTGCCGCTGGAAACCTCTCCCCCTGCCTGGCAGACTCGGGCTCACCCAGCGTCTCCTCCAGGCAGCCCTGCCTACAGGAGCTGCTTGTTCCGCCTCATCCGAAGCCATGAGCTCCTAAGGCAGGGCTGAGCCTCCCATGGATGCTCTCCTGCTTCCCAGAGAGGCCTCAATAAATACTTGCCCCGTTGAGTGTGTCTCCACCAGAATGTCAGCTCATAGTTGAATCCCCAATGCTAGAACAGAGCCTGGCAAATGATTTGAGTCGAAGAAATGTTGACCACTTGAATGAATGAGTTGAAAAAATGAATGAAAGTAAGGTAAGGTCCTCAGGTTAACTCCCTCCTGGCCCAGGGCTCCCCCGCAGCCAGGAACCTCTGACGCTCAGAACCGGCTATGTAATTTGCTGGATTCACTGCAAAATGAAAACGTGGGTCCCCTGTTCAAAAAGGAATACTTTCGGAAGGCAACAACAGCACCAAGCCAAGGGGAAGAGTGTCTCCTGGGTGCGGAGCCCCTCCTTACAGCACAGGTGGCTGCCCAAGAAGTCTGCCTGCCCTCTCCCAGGCTCCTTCCCCAGCCCCTCCTCCCAGGCCCTGCTCTGAGCCACGCCAGCCTTTAGGGCCCTCGTTTGCGGAAACCTCCCAGGACCTTTTAGACTTGGAGCATCTTAGCGGGCACTCCGGAGGACTGCTTCAGCTTTGAGCCGGCTGAGGGTCTGAGGAAGGGGCTCCAGGAGGATCAGGGAGAATCCCGGGCATCCCCCACTCTCGGTTCCTCTCGGTCCAGGGTCCAGAAGTAGCTAGCTCCTCTTCCCTTGTAGGAGGGAGAGAGGATCTCTTTTCTTGGGAAGTGGCTCCTGTCTTGTCCGCAACTGGGCGTCTCCCAGTAGACACACAGGTGCACCAGGCGGGCAGACAAGCATAGACACAAAAAGACACGCCCTCCCCCTATTCATGATTTAGGGACAGGCGATCAGCCTCAAAAACAGCCGGTCAGACCGAGACCCGAACAGAGAAATCGTGCGGCAGAAATAAGCAGAGACAGGGACAGACGAGCGCGCACAGGGGCTCTGCCCGGCTCTCGGACCTCGGCGATCCGCGACGCAGCCGCTCGGGCACAGCGCAGGCACCTGCAGAGCCCGGGAGCTCCGCCCTGCCGCCCCGCGCCCACTGCCCGCCCCCGGGCTGGCTCAGGGCGACCCCTCGCCCCCACCCACCCAGGGGGCGGCGGGAGGCACCTAGCCTGGGTTCCGGGGCTACTGGCCGGCGCTCTGAGACCGGAGCTGCAGGACGCGGGCGTCGGGGCCGGGAAGGCTGCGGTTCGAGGCATAGGGGCGGGCGCAGCCCGCGCAGGGCAGGGGCGAGAGGGCTGGCCTGGGCATCGCACGGTGGGGGGAGCGGGCAGTGCGCATCCGGAGCGCCAAGTAGGGGGTCAGACCAGGTCAGCCGGCGGGGGGCGGTGGTAAGAGGACCCGGTGAGTAGCTTAACTGAGGGCGGCCAGGCAGGACGAGGGGAAGCAGGAGTCGGAGGGTGACCGGAGAGCGGGGTTGACTGGAAGTGGGCATCGGGCAAGGGCTGAGTCAGGAGCAGCAGGTGGGAGCCGGGCCGCAGCCACCCGGGACCAGACTCCGTGCGGGTCACCCAATGATGCCCGAGGGCCAAGGGGCGCCTGCCTCTCCCCGGGCGGCACGGAGCGCCCTGGACAGAAGGTCGTCGGCGCCCGCGGCCTGCGCGCAGCCCCAGATTCTGGCCCTGCGGTCCTCGGGGTCCTCAGGGTCCCCGGGGTCCCCGGCCCCTCGGCGGGCTGCCGTCCGCGCCAGCGTCCCGCAGAAGCTGGGCGAGGCGCTGAGCAGCCAGTACGGGCTGAACGTGTTTGTGGCGGGGCTGCTGCTCCTGCTGGCCTGGGCCGTGCACGCATCGGGCGTGGGCAAGAGCGGCCTGCTGTGCTTCCTCACGGCGCTCATGCTGCTGCAGCTGCTCTGGGTGCTGTGGTTCGTGGGCCGCAGCGCCGCGCACCGCCGCCTCATCCGGCTCAAGGACACGCACGCCGGCGCGCGCTGGCTCCGCGGTGAGTCCCGGGAGGCGGTGCCCCGAGCAGCCCGCGGTCCGCGCGCTTTGCCCTTGACCTCGGCCCTGCCTTTCCCGCCGCCGTCCTCCGCACGGCTTTCCTGGCTCTGCCCCCCGCCCCTGGTCTCCTTGGGGAGGCCCTGATGATTGCAGGGGCCCCTCTCCCGCCGCCAGGCTCTTGCCTCGCGTTCTGCCGGGAGAGCGGCGGCTACTCAAACCACCGCGTCTTTCCCTGGCTTCGAGGCCCGCAAGGCTCCCGGGCTCCAGAGGGCCTCTTTAGGTGTGTCCCCTCGTCTGGGCTCCCTTCGCGAAGGCTTTTAGTTTCTGTCACAGTATTTCATGTTCCCTGACTTTGTGTATTCCCTCCGCCTTGAGTGCCTCTCCCCTGCGCGGGCTCGGGCCCTCCCCACCCCTACGGGTCCTCCCCAGTGATGTTTTTCGGACCCCTGCCCCCCTTTGAGGTTCTGGCCTCAATCCTCCACCCCTTGCTGTGCCCCGGGTAGACACTGTTCTGCTTGCTGACACTTGTGTCCCCTCTCCCAGAGGGGACATCCATGATGCTCACCTCCTAGTCCTGGGGCCTCCTTAGGGCCTGGTACCGAGGAGGTGCTAAGAAAAGGCAGGCGAGGTGAACAAAGTAACCGATGAGCAGTTGAACGTTCAGGCAGGGGGGTAGGATCTCTTGCCAGGCACTCACAACATACTGATTGAAATATTGTCAAGATAGGAACCCTCCCCACCCCCTCAGGGAGCTTGCACCCCTGAAAGAGAGGCAGACATGGTGCAGGGCAGAGGGGAGGCAGTGGGGTGTCTGTAGAAAAGGCCCCTGCCTGAGAAACCCTCACAGGAGAGGCCAGGTACAGACATCACACATCTCCGATTGTTTGCGTTTCAGTCGGAATTAAGTCCCGCCTACAGTGTGCCTTCCACTTTCCTTGCACGACCTCGAGCAAGTGTCTTTATGTGCCCACACCCTCGTTTCAGCACGTGCAGCACAGGAATCACGCTTGGTAGGAACAGTGGCCGCCAGGCACAGGGTGGGTGCCCAGCACACATTTGTTCTCCTTCCACCCATCGTCCCTTCTCATGTCCACCCAGTGCCACCTTCACCCACCTGCCCACTCCCAGGGTCCTCGCGGCTCTGTGTGTGTGGACTCTTTTGGTCCTTGCCAGTTTCTGCCTTGTACTGCGACTCGCTGGATATGAGCCTTGTCATCCCGGTGAGATTTTAGATTTCTTAGGCTCAGGGACTGTGTCTAGTTCTCTTGCCTTTGGAAAAATTGGACACAACCCCAGGGTGGCCCGTCTTCCTATTCTGAAAATGGTTGTCTTGGGGAGGTTTGCGGTTTTGTGACTGTGAGTGGCAGTGATCTGGTGCCGTGTCAAACAAAGGGAATGAAATGTCACTTTAAGGACATCGATTTACACAGGCTTTTTTTTGACCTGTGCTTCCAGTAGTGGAAGGGCCCTTTCTCTGCCCCTCCCTTACTTCCTCCATCCTTCTGTTCTTCCCTTTCTTTTCCCTTCCTCTTCCCTCCTCATCCATTCCTTCCTTTCTCCTTCACCCCCCCTCTCTCCCCTGCTTTCCCTCACTGTCTCCCTCCTTCCCGGAAGGCTCCCAGCATGGGGGCCTGAGTAAGGGGGTGAATGGTGGTGTGGTTTCTGAAGATCCGGAAGATGGAGGAGGGGCAGAAGGGAGGATGCAGAGTCAGAGTTTCTCTTGTGGACGTGTTACAATTTGCGATGTCTGTTAGACACCAAGCAGTGATAGAACAAACGAGACGAGAGGGAGCGCGCGCACATAGTCGCGTTCACCAAATGGTGGCAGTTTAGACACTCAGCACGTCGCCCCATAATAACGTAACCGTTCGAATGAGGCATGTGGATAATGGAAGTGGTGCTGGCCACGGAGGCTTGCTGCCTCAGCTCTATCACCATGGCCTTTCTGAGACCCGGTTTCCTCATCCGTCAAATAAGAGGCTGGGAGATGTCAGGTGAAAACAGGCAAAGTCCTGTCCATCCCTTCAAATGGGCTGTGGCTCATCAAAGAAGCAAGAGGCCAGTGATCTCAAAAGAATGTCGGAGGCCACGGTGCCAAGGGAAGCGCCCGCAGCCTGGCAGGGACTGAGGTTTCCCCTGGAGTCCTAGCTGGAAAGGCAGGTTCGACTTCACTCTGCCCTGGCTTCTGTGACCACCTTAGACGTCTGGGCGTTGAGGTTTTCTAGAGAAAGTTTTTGGGTCTTGGTTGTGAGGCTTCTCTTGGAGCAGGAAATATTCTGCCCCACCTGCTGGGTATGAGAAAGTGAAGACTTCTGTTGACTGAACGCAAAGAGTCGGGAGGCTTCGGATAGAAATAAATGATAAAGATTTAGTCAAGGGTCTTAGAGTTTGCAAACTTAGAACACACAGGTAGGCAAAACCCAGGTGTTCCAAAGAAGGATGAACAGTTCCACGTTCTTAGAGTAAAAGTTACGTCCTGGAGGATAACCGGTCCTGCATTGTTAGCCCTTGTCTTGGTCCAGCACAGCTGGGAGCCAGATGTCAGGGGTCTGGCTGATGGCCGGCGGGTGGTCTGGAGCTTGCATCCTGAGTCCCGTATGGGCGTTACCCGAAGGTCTAACGTGTGTCTTGACGTCGGCATGCAATAGACTGGTGTACCGCTAGGATTAAAGCCACACTGGAAAGGTCAAAGGTTTAAGTTCTCAGGCTGGGTTTCCTCATACCTCCACGTTCTCGTTATCAATCACGCAGCAGCTCTAACCGCTGAGCCACTCTGGCCAGGGCCCAGTTCTCTTCTTCTGAAACAGCTTCACTGAGACATGGTCCCTATACGCTGCGATACCCATTTAAGGCTTTTAGTATATTCCCGATGCACGCAGCCATTGCCACAGAGGGCTCAGAACATTTTGTCCTCCCAGAAAGGAACCCTCGCCCTCTGGCCATCACCCCTGTACCTCCATTCCCCTGTAGCCCCAGGCAACCTCGGATCTACTTGGGTCCCTAGACTTGCCTTGTCGGGACATCCCGTCAGTGGGAACAAACACGTGTCCACTTCTGACTTGTGGTGTGTGCAGTCCCACAGCAGGTGTTGAGGTGGGTGTCCCCGCCCCCACCCCGCCCCCGCATTTACCAAGCCAGGGAGCAGAAAGGGCTTCAGAAGGAGGGTGGCGCCCCCTTGCTGGCAACAGTGGAACAGAGTGAGAGAGAACAGGCCTGAGCTCCTTGCTCGGGCAGACGGAATGGTATTGGCAGGTGGCAGAGAAGGCACAGTCCCTCACTTTCATCTTGCTCTGTCTTCTCCATGGAGCAGGGTTTTGGAGCTTGTGAGAGAGCGGAGGAGGGAGCCAAGTCCACAGCGTGGAGGCGGCTTTTGTGGTGGCAGAACCTTTGGTCTGGTTTCCTTCTACCGCCTGGACTGAGCTCCCCCAATTCTGTGCCAGGCACTGGCTGGGCTTGGGGGGGGTGGGGCGATCGGGTACAGGAGAGGGCAAGGATGACAATGGGGGGCAGCCGGCACGATGGCTAACAGTGTGGCCCCCCAGGCTTCCGGCTCAGGCTCCTCCCACTTCCCCTCTATTCCCATGAAGTAAGGCTTTTTGAAATTATTGACTGCCCTCTCTCTGCGCCTCTTGCCCCCAGCGCCCATCTCTTCATGAAGCCTTTGGAAGGGTTTACATCTCACCCAGTCCGACTCCAACCGTATTCTGCATCACAGGTCTTTACAGAGCCTGTAAACCACACATTTCCAGACGGTTTGTCTTCATCCATTTGGATTTAATGCCTCTTATCTTGTTTTCTCTTCTATTAATCTGTTTATGTATCTACTGGACTATCCATCCAACCATCCATCCACTGTCCTCTCTCCTTCCCTCCCTCCTTTCCTTCCTTCTCTCCTTCCTCGCATTATACATCCCTCTACCTCTCCAGTCTTTTACCCAGGTCTCTGCTCCCTCTCGCTCCCTCTCTCCTTCATCTTCCCTAACTACGAGGACGGGTTGTCTGGTTGAAGCCCTTTGTCAGGAGTTAAGTGGATGCAGTTTTTCTCTGATCCTCAGTCCTTTTCTGACCACCCGTCATCGCCCTCGATCTCTTCCCCGCTCTGCTTTTCTTCCTGCACTTTGAGCGTCTACTCATTTATGTGTTTATTTTCTCTCTTCCCCACCAGAACATTAAACTCACTAAGAGCAAATACTTTCTTCTATTGACCTCTTTTTTTTTTACCCTCACCCAAGGACATTTTTGCATTTATCTGCAGATAGAGCAGGAGGGAGAGAGGGAGGGAGAGAGAGAGAGAAACATTGACGTGAGAGAGACACATTGAGTGGTCGCCACCCACATAACCCCAACCAGGGCCGGGGACAAACTGCAACCAAGGTACGTGCCCTTAGCAGGAGTTAAACCCGGGACTCTCCAGTCTGCGGGCCGATGCTCTAACCACTGAGCAAAACTGGCCAGGGCAACCTTCTTCTTTTTAAATAATTTTATCCTCGCCCGAGGACATTTTATCTATCTTCAGATAGAGTGGGAGGGAAAAAGGGAAGAAGAGAGAGAGAGACATCGACTGGTTGCCACCCACATGGGGACAAACTGCAACCGAGGTATGCGCCCTTAGTGGGAACTGAACCAGGGACTCTCTGGTCCACGGGCCGACGCTCTAACCACTGAGCCAAACTGGCCAGGGCTCTTCTATTGACCTTTTTTATATCTCCAGTGCCCGTGATAGTGCTTGGACCACAGTCGGTGCTTGACAGATAGTTGTTGAACGAAGTATATTTTGCATAGCTTCAAGCATCTCTCTGTCCTTTGGCCTGACAAGCAGAAGACACCTTGGCTGGGAGTCGGGTTTGTGAGCTGCTGTCCTCTCCTGCTGTGGGCTCCAGTCCGGCACCTCCTGCACCAGCTCTGGTCTCCCGGGCTGGGGATGAGTAGTCTGCCGCCAGCTCACCCTCTGTGCTTTGGGCCATGTTCGTGCCATGTTATACCTGTGCGTTTGTTTCCCTGCAGTCTTGTTGGTTTACCTTTGAGCCCCTGGCAAGTGTCTCATGCACGATATTTGTTGGATGAATAGAAGGGAGAATGAGTCCATGGGTGGTGGGTGGGTGAAGGAGGAAGGACTTCAAGAGTGTGAGAAGGTACCTGCTGCATGTTCACAGCTCTTGAAATGTCAGTGACAGAGATGTTCCAGACCAGCAGTTCCCAAGGTGGGGTCCCCGACCAACAGTCTCAGCCCCACCTGGCAACTTGTTCAAGAGGAAAATTTGGGGGCTCCACCCCAAACCTAGTGAATCAGAAACTCTGGGGGTGCAGCCCAGCTGTCCCATGCTCTAACAAGACCTCTGGGTGATTGTGATGCATGATCCAGTTTGAGAACGACTGCTGTGGACCAAGCTAATTTTATAGACGGGGAAACCGAGGCTGGGAGCAGGGAAGTGACGTGCCTGCACTCACTGGACTGGTGCCCAGGTCCCCATAGCTCCAGCCCGGGACCCTGCCGCCCCAACCACCTGCCTCGCCTCCTCTTGCTCTGTCTTTGTAATCAAAACGAACCGTGCGTTTGTCCAGCTATTTCAAAGCGGTAGAATCGAATCTCCGCTCTGACAAAGTCTCTGATTTCACTGGGGATTTTGTAGCATTTAAGAAAATGTGACTTAGAGTTGTTTCTATAAGGCTTTGAGCAAAGGCAAGGAGCCAGGCGATTGCATTACGGCTCACGGGAGGCTACCTAGGCCGGGCTGTAATGTTATAGCTCACGGTGAGGGCTCCTGCCCTTTGCTCTCTCCCGCCATAAAGCATGTCGCCTGTGATCCAGTTTCCTCCGGTGCGTGGGAGAGAACGTGTGAATGGCAGTCAGTGTTGGCTCAGAAGAGGGATGAGGGGCTTGGACGTTGATCAAGTTCCCATGATCACTATGTTTTTCTTGCTAATTTCTTCATTTGTTACAAGTTTCTAGTTTATGTATTTTATACATTCTTTCCCAGTCTTTTTCTTTTTTCCTTTTATCCTCACCTGAGGACATTTTTCCATTTTTTGTACAGATAGAGTGGGAGGGAGAGAGAGAGAGAGAAACATCGACGTGAAAGGGACACATCGAGTGGCTGCCACCCGCACGACCAACCAGGGCCAGGGACTGCAACTGAAGTACGTGCCCTTAGCGGGAACCAAACCCGGGTCTCTCTGGACCGCAGGCCGACACTCTAACCGCTGAGCCAAACCGGCCAGGGCCCCAGTCTTTTTCTTATATGCATATTTTTTGTTTTTATTTTTTGGCTAAAACCATGCTGGAGAGACCATCAGAGGAAGTGTCCTTGCTTCACTTCGTACACCCTCTCCACGTCCCTGCTGCAGGGCCCTGGTCTGTCCCTTAAAAACGCAGACTCTGTGTTAGCCAAGGGTTAGGTTCACGGAGGAGTGTGCAGTGAGCTCCTGGTACCCTGTGTGCCTATGTGCCCTCGCTTTTATTCTTTAGCCAGCAGGGTTTTAGGTCCGAGAACGGAGATTTCTGAGCACAACGTGACACTCTGAGATGGATCATTTTGGGGGAGAAGCTTCTAGAGGCCTGCCGTTGACTCAGCCAGTCTGGTGAACACATACCATTTGTCAGACCCTGGGGTGCGTGTGGGTGGGCACAGTGGTAAGTGGGACACACTTCCGTCTTCCAGTCTTTCAGTTTCAGCTTATCAGGCCAATAGTAGCATTTATTATATATATATATATATATATATATATATATATATATATATGTAAAATTGTGGTAGAATACACGTGGCACAATTTACCAACTTAATCTTTTTGTCGCTATTAATCCTCACCTGAGGATATTTTTTCATTGATTTTTAGAGAGAGTGGGAGGGAGGGAGGGGGAGAGAGAGAGATTGATTGGTTGCTTTCCTCATGACCCCGACTGGAGCCCGGGATTGAACCTGCAACCCAGATACGTACCCTTGACCGGGAACCGAATCCACTTCGGTCCGCCTAACTGCTGAGCCAAACTGGCCAGGCCCAGCGTGATCAGTTGTAAGAAGTGTTAGGTACACCCCAGACTCTTTCATCTCACAAAGCTCCGTACCCGTGAGACAGCGGCTCCCCCTCCCTCCCTCCCCATCCCGGCTCTTCTCCGAACTGAGCTCCCAAGGACCCTCGTATCAGCGGAATGACGCAGGGCTGTCCTCTGTGACTGGCTTACTTCACGTGGCCCCGTGTCCTCGAGGCCCATCCACGTCGTTGCATGTGCCAGACTGTCCTTCCTTCCTGAGGACGCGCCTCCTGGGTGGACAGACCCCGTTTTGTTTGTCCAGTCATCTGCTGCTGGGCGCTTGGTGCGCCTCCACCTTGTGGCGGCTGTGAAGGACGCTCCGTGAACACGAGTGGAGAAATGCCTCTTCCTGTTCTTGCTTTCAGTCCTTTGGGCTGTGTGCCCAGAAGTGGAATTGCTGGATCACCCAGAAATATATTTTTTTGAGAAACTGCCATACTGTTTTCCACAGTGCCCGCTCCACTTTACGTTCAGGTGTCCTGATTTCTCCACATCCTTGCCAGCACCCCCCTATCCCCCCATTTCTCTGGGGGGTGGCTCAGCAGCCACCCTGGACGGGAGCTGGTTTTCATTGGCATTTCCCTACTGATTAGTGATGTCTGTTCAAGTCCTTTGCTCATGTCTTCGATGGGGTTGTCTTTTCCTGTTGCGGTTACATCGGAGTTCTTTATAGATTCTGATGCTAGCGCCTCATCAGCTATGACTTGGGAATGTCCGAGGCTGTCTCTGATGTCCAAGTTTCCTTTTTCATTTCGATGTAGCGCGACTGATCCACGTCCACCCTTCTTGCCTGTGCTTCGGACATCAGAGTCGGGAAGTCGTGGCCGATCCAACAGTGCGAAGGCCCCCAGGCTCTCTGCTAAGAGTTCTATAGCTTTAGGTTTTGCATTTAGGGCTGTGACGCGTCTTGAGCTCATCTTTGTTCATAGTGAGAGGCAAGGGTCCACGTCACATCATTTGTGGACATGACCGTCCTTTCTCCGTGGCATGGTCCTGTCACCCTGGTGGAAAACCATCTGACCGCGTGTGTGAGGGTTTAATATAATTTATTTTGAAATGATACCAGTGAATAGTAATACTTACATCACTATTATATGTGTGCTTCTACCCTGCCCCCAATTTAGGTAGTATCACCCTGTTCGCCATCTTGACCGTCGTCCTGGGATGCCTCAAAATTGGCTACTTCGTTGGATTTTCCGAGTGTTTATCAGCCACGGAGGGTGTGTTCCCTGTCACACACACGGTCCACACTCTGGTGCAGGTAAACCACTGTGTGTATTTATGTTGCCCGTGTATCCAGGGCGTACGTACAACATGGGGTTCGTGAGGGCAGCGTGCGGGGAGCCGGAGTCCCTCGTCCCTGAGTCTGTCCTTCAGCTACCTCCCTGTGAAATGGGGCTCTGTGTCCCTTGTCCATCTTTTCGGGGGTCCCTGAGGCAGAACTTGTGATGATGAAGAGTCAGAAATTTTGCCAAGCCAGACTCCACCAGAAAAGGCCGGGGGCAGTTTTAACAGAACAGTTTTATTGACCTATAATTCACACGCCATCCAAGTCACCCATCGAAAGGGGCAAGCTGGAGGGTAGGATGTGCGTGGGGTGTGCGAGCATCACCGCACCCTATTGCAGAACACCCCCGTCACCCCTGGGAGAGAGGTGTGGCCATCCCAGGCACAGCGCTGGGTCGCTGCAACACTTGTGTGTCGTTTGCCTACTTGTGGATTGAAACCCTTTAGAACCGTGGGAGAGGTTCTTCCTCAGCGTCGGGCAACTTGGTGTGGCTCGGGAGTAAGGATTTGAGGCCTGCCGTTTAAATAGGTCGCGTAGAATCAGAAACATCTCCTGTTGGGAAAGAAACGGGGACGGTCCTCTCGAGTGGCCTCCGTCCTGAGTGGACATCCCTGGTGAGGGCATCAGAGTGGGGTCCCTGTGACTCTGTTAGGGGAAGTATTGATTAATATTTCCATGGAGCTTTCAAGTCTGCAAAGTGCCTTTCCGTGGCCACTTCCTCTTACGCGGCCAACAAGCCCACATGCCCAGCGTGGGCCCCTCGGCTCACTTCCAAGGAGGAAGCTGGAGGGGGGAGGAGATTAATGACTTGCACGAAGTCACGGCCGAGACGCGGTGACAGTTCTTCTCCTCCACACCAGTCACCCTGGAAGACCATGGACTCGGCCCAGTGATACTGTCACTGCTTGGAATAGTTTTGGTTTCCCAGTTTAAGAGCATCCTTCAGGACCAATTCTCCACCTCCGGAATGCCAACGATGCCATTTTTATTTTATTTATCTTCAAAATTTGTTTATTTTCTCTTTATTGATGTTAGAGCAGGAGAGGAAGGGAGAGGGGGAGAGAGAGAGAGAAACATCGATGGGAGAGAACATCAATTGGCCGCCTCCTGCATGCCCCCTACTGGGGATCGGGCCCACAACCTGGGCATGTGCCCTGACCAGGATGAACCAGCGACCTCTTGGTGCTCAACCACTGAGCCACACCAGCCGGGCCTGACTTGCCATTCGTAGGGTGGGAGGTCACAGGTGTCCCCAGCATTTATCGCACCTTCCCCTAAGTTTTATAGCTCCTGCAGTGTGCAAACATAATGGTAGCTTCCCACTGATACATCCTCTTCCTCCTTTATTTCCGTCTAGGTTTATTTTCTTTGGGGACATGCAAAGGATATCATCCAGTCTTTCAAAACCCTGGAAAGGTAAAAACCGTGGGCCAGTGCTTTACCCGCTGAACTCGGGGTTCCTTTAAACAAGCGGAACTCGTCGAGGCCGTCTCGCTTGGGTTACACGCGTGAGACCGGTGTTCCCCTCCATCCCGACAAGCAGAGCCTTCTCATGGCTGGAGGGGAGGCCTTCCTGGGGGCAGCCCTGCAAATATGATGATGTGGGTTTGAATTCAACTCCACCGTCTTCGCTACTTCCCCTCCACGACCCTCAGTTTTCCTCATCTGTGAAATGGAGAGACTAGCATAGCCAGACTCTCAGGCCTGAAGGAAGAAACTGACGTAGAGTCTGTGCCCGGCACACACAGGTACGGACTCAGTGCGTGCTGGGTCTCCTGTGCTCTCTGTCCCCCCCCGCTCGAGGTGATAGCGAGGGTCAAGGGAAAGCATCACAGGATAATGGGGTGGGTACAGCAAGGCATCACGATGACCTAGGAAAGACTTCTGTGCACTCACACAGCCGGATCAAGGGGTCGGCCCTGACTTTACAGAGGGACCCTGCCCCGTGTACACCGCCGCCAAGGGACAGAAAACTCTCCAGGCCGATATTGAAAAGACTGATTTATGTATGACCGCTGGCAGAACCATGTTACTAGACCACTGAAATGCATGTCACTTACATCGACCTTATTCTGCCAAAAAAAAAAAAGTCAGCTTCCACAAGCTGTGGGGCATCCGCTGGGCTCCTACTGTGCGCAGGGCTGCGCCGGCCCCTCGGGGATGTGCAGTGACCAGGTGTCCCAGGTGTGAGGGTCGGCCGGCCCCTGGCGTCCTGCACTGACTGGCACCTGTGTCCCCTGTGCAGCCACAAGCCCTGGCCCTGCAGGGACCTTTAACCCGTCCTTTTTTTTTTTTTTTTTAAATAAACCGGCAGCAGGATGCAGTAGAAAGGATCCTTAACTCATGGTCTAGACGCTGAGCTCCAGTTCCAATTTTGTGACTTTGACCATGTTGCTTAACCTATCAAACTCTCAGTTTATATCATTTTAAGTATGTTTTTAATTATTATTATTTTTTTTTTAGAAAGAGGAAGGGAGAGAGAGATAGAAACGTCAATTGGCTGCCTCTTGCATACCCCTCACTGGGGATCGAGCCCACAACCCAGGCATGTGCCCTGACAGGGAATCGAACGGGGACCTCTCAGTCCCTGGGATGACGCTCAGTCCACTCAGCCGCACCAGCCGGGCTTTAACCTCAGTCTTAACACGAAAAGCCTCCTGCTGGGGGAGAGGCAAGGGGGTGGTGGCAGGAGAGGGCCAGAAGTGGGTGCCAATTCTCCTGCCTGCGGGGGAGGGGAATGGACAAATGGGGCCACAAGGACAAATGAGGTCCAGGGCCCAAGGACTCAGGGAAAATGACTTTGATCTTTCCTTGGAGCAGGACATAACCGTCCACGCCCATCTCCACCTTTAATCCCGGAGAGGCTGTGTGAGGGTAACTATGGTAACCGCTCTCTGCTTTAGGGTGAGTCAGCAGGTTCCTGCAGGGAGGGGATCCCCGGGTCAGCGGGCAGACCTGGGATCTTGTCCCTGTTTGTCCTGGGGGGTGAGGAGGACCCACACTCCCTTCCACCCTCCCCTCCGTCGGCGGCAGGGCTCTGCGCGAAGCTGGAGAACACTCGGGGCTTTTGTTCTGGGGCGGGGGTTTTGCTTTATCTACTCTGAAGTTATTCTAAAAATTGTACTTTTTTTTTTTTTTTTCTAAAACTTGTAAGGATACAGTAGAATTTAAAATCACCATAATGACACTCTTATGGACTGCATGTACGTGTCCTTCAGATGCATAAGCCAAATCCCAGTGTGGTGGGATTTGGAGGGGGAGCCTTTGGGAGGGAACCAGGTTTAGATGAGGTCATGCGGGTGGGCCCCCACCGGGCATTAGTGTCTTTGTAAGAAGAGGAAGGAGCGCCCGCCCCTCTCCACGGGTGCCCAGAGCAAAGGCCTGCTCAGGGCACAGGGAGAAGGCGGCCGTCTGTGAGTGAGGAACAGAGCCCTCACAAGAGCCCACCTGCCGTGTGCCCAGAGCAAAGGCCTGCTCAGGGCACAGGGAGAAGGCGGCCGTCTGTGAGTGAGGAACAGAGCCCTCACGAGGAGCCCACCTGCCGGGTGCCCAGAGCAAAGGCCTGCTCAGGGCACAGGGAGAAGGCGGCCGTCTGTGAGTGAGGAACAGAGCCCTCACAAGAGCCCACCTGCCGTGTGCCCAGAGCAAAGGCCTGCTCAGGGCACAGGGAGAAGGCGGCCGTCTGTGAGTGAGGAACAGAGCCCTCACGAGGAGCCCACCTGCCGGGTGTCCAGAGCAAAGGCCTGCTCAGGGCACAGGGAGAAGGCGGCCGTCTGTGAGTGAGGAACAGAGCCCTCACAAGAGCCCACCTGCCGGCCCCTTGAACTTGGACTGCGAGCCTCCACAGCTGTGAGAAATGATGCCTCTTGTTTTGCTATAGCAGCTAAGACAGCACTGCCCACAGGTTACTCCTGTTAACATTTCCGTCAGTTTCATTCCAGTCTTTTTTTTCCATAAGTAGATACATTTTGTTCCTTTCTTCTTGTTACAACTCTGGTCCTGGACTGTTGCTTTTCTTTGTCTTTTCAGTTTGCAGTTAACCTCCCCCAACCCCGACTGGTCTTCTTCTGCACCATGACCTTTACTGACTGCCAGTATGTCATTGCCGCAGCCCCTCTAACCAAGGTCCTGCTGAGCTAGTCGCCTTGGGCTGTCATGGCAGAATACCACGGCCGGGGCCGCAGCCGCAGAAACCTACCACTCAGTTCTGGGGGCGGCGAGTCCAAGGTCAAGGGGCCAACAGGGCTGTTTCTGGCGAGGCTTCTCTTCTTAGCTTGCAGAGGGCTGCCTTCTGCTGCGTTCTCACGTGTCCTTTCCATTGGGCAGGGGGAGAGAGAGAGAGAGAGAGAGAGAGAGAGAGAGAGGAAGGGTGAGGGGGAGAGAGAGAGAGAGGGGAAGGGTGAGGGAGAGAGAGAGAGAGAGAGGAAGGGTGAGGGAGAGAGAGAGAGAGAGAGGGTGAGGGAGAGAGAGGAAGAGCGAGGGAGAGAGAGAGGGAGAGAGGGGAAGAGGGTGAGGCAGATCACTGGTATCTCGTCCTCTTCTTCTTTTTTATTTTTTTATTTTTTATTTATTTATTTTTTTTATCCTCACCCGAGGACATTTTTGCATTTTTTTGTTCAGACAGAGCGGGAGAGAGAGAGAGGAAGAGAGAGAGAGAGAAACATCGATGTGAAAGGGACACATTGAGTGGCTGCCACCTGCACGACCAACCAGGGCCGGGGACAAACTGCAACCGAGGTATGTGCCCTTAGCGGGAACTGAACCCGGGTCTCTCTGTACCGCAGGCCGACGCTCCAACCGCTGAGCCAAACCGGCCAGGGCTTCTTTTCTTTTATAATCCTCACCGAAGATATTTTTCCATTGCTTTCTAGACAGCGTGGAAGGGAGAGAAGGAAAGAGAGAGAAAGAAACGTCGATGTGAGAGAGAAAGAAACATCGATGTGAGAGAGACCCACCGATTGGTTGCCTCCCGCACGACCCCCACCAGGACCAGGGATCAAACCTGCAACCCAGGTACGTGCCCTTGACCGGGAGTCAAACCCGCATTCCCTAGGTCCACAGGCCGATGCTCCAGTCGCTGAGCCAAACTGTCCAGGGCTCTTCCTCTTCTTGTAAGGAAGCCACGTCTACTGAATCAGGGCCTCACCCTCATGACCTCATTTAACCTGAATTACTTCCTTAGAGGTCTCACCTCTAACACATTAGGGTAGGGCTTCAACATTAATTTTGAGGGGATGCAGTCCATCACACCTGTTGTTGGACAATTCATCTTCTGAATGTTTGGTTGTTATTATAAATAGTACTGGGATGAACATCTTCAGTCAGAAATAGTTCTGAGTGTCTTTGATGACCTGCCTGGGTTACATGCCTGGACGTGGAAGTGTTGGAATCAAGGGCGAGATGTTTCAGACGGATGTGTATTGAGCAGCGTGTCTGTCCCTAGGCACTCCGGGCTGGAGAGACGAACCCTCCCGTTTTCCAAGTATTTTCTTTTACGTGTGTTACATTTGAGGTCCTCTCTCACAATAGTCCTGCCGGTCACAGACGTCACGTTTGGTCACAACCCCAGTTAGCAGACGAGGAGACCGAGGCTCAGAAAAGTGAAACCAAAGCCCGAGGTCAGGCAGCTGTCTGTGCCTTGCTGGGTGGGACCTGGATGTCGACTGCCATTTCCATGGCACCGCAGTGACCGCAGCGGCAGCTGGGTTTGCTGGGTGAAGTCTCTCTCTTTGCCCTCGTCACTTGTTTAATCACAGCCTCAGGACATTTGGGTCCCTGCCCCTCGGAGCAGAAAGCGCTCTTTGTATTTGCCTTCTCGCCCTGTGCTGCTCGAGACAGCAGCCGCCAGCCGCGGCCGCGTCGGTTACCGCGCTCTGAGTCCTGGGCACACGCCAGACTCCGGAGACTAGAGACCGGCTCCGTAAGGACTGCTTTGGGCTCTGGCCGGTTTGGCTCAGCGGTTGGAGCGTCCGCCTGCGGTCCGGAGGACTGCTTTGGCATTGATGATACGTTGACATCATAGCATCTTAGATATATGGGGTTTAACAAAACAGTATTAAAATGATGTTCACTGTTCCTTTTTACTGTTTTTTTTTTTTTTAAAAACGTGGCTACTAGAACACGTGAAAGCACACGTGTGCGTCTCGCCCTGTTTGTGGCCAGCACCGCCCTCGGGCACTTCCCGCCAGGGTCTTTCCAACGAGGGCAGGGACTGGGCCCTGCTTGGCCCTGCTTGTTGAGTGACTGGACACAGTCTGTCCCTGTCCCGAGGCTCGTTTCTGCACCGGACAGTGAGGGGTTGGAACCAGGCAGGCTAACAGCTCCATGTCTCCTATTCGCTTGAAGGGCCAGTGTGAAACATGTTTGAGTTACTTACCACTTGGAGGTGTTAGATTTAGACTTTCCTAGAAAAATGGGGAGATTTGGCAACACTGAGTGTGCATGGCAACCAAGAACTGGAGCTGAGCTGGGGTGGTGCCCTCCTGAGGGGGGCTGTCTCTTGTTTGCTGCGCACCCCCTCTCCGATGTACCCTAGACTTGCTTTCTCCATTGACGTTTCCCGCCAGGCCCCGAAGGCTCGGGAACCCTCCCTGCCTGGACTTACTGCTTTCTTCTGCTCTGATGAGACAGCATTCGACCATCTCATACTTTTAGTACATTCTCCTGATCCAGGAATTCCTCGTACCGGTTTGAGTCCTTTTTTTTTTTTTTTTTTTTTTTAAACAAGGGCTTAGTGGAACAGCCTGAAATTACAAATTGAGATCAGAAATGGTTAACGGAAGCCTTCTCTTTATTGTGGTCTGGGGTTATCAGATCCAAGCATGAGAAAGACAGCCTGGCATGAGGCGATGCCATCTGCCCCGAGTGTGCAGGACAGTGTCCAGATCCAGCCAACAGGAGGCTGCCAGCTCACAGGGAGCTCGTGTGGCAGGGCAGTTGGTGGCCCTGGGCGGCACCCTTGCCCCCTCCTTGGGCTTAGTGGGTCTGGGCTTGGACAATCACCACGTGGACCAGGAGAGAGGAGGAGAAAGGGGAGCTGTGTGCATTATAAATCAAAGAAAAACCAACCAGCTTGAGGCAAATGGCATTGTCTGCATTTGTGAAGCTGCATACAATGCCTCCCAGGCACGCTGGGGAAGGCTGGCCGCCATCTATAGCCACTGGGTAAGTGAGGGGCCAACAGGTGGCAAACACCTGACGCAGACACCCCAGGAAGCTGTTTCTCTCCCCAGTGCTGCCTGCACGCATCACGCAGCTGCCAAAGGAGCCCAGACGGGGAAGACTCGGAGGAGAGACAAGGTCAGGGTTGAGGACGCATTTGCACTGTTTTCCTGCAGGCTGATCAAGGACAGACGTGTTCTCGGTTGGACAGGGAGGGGCATGCTTCCTCTGCACCTCTGCTCTCCAATGGAGGAGTCATCAGTTGTACCCCAGTTTCAAGGGAAGCCTCTCAGATCACCAGTATTTGCTGCACCTGCTCCATGCAAGGCCCATTGTTAACGACGCTGGAAGCTACCAATGTGGATGCGTCTTAAACCGGCAGGCAGGGGGAGACTTTGGAGCTTTTAAAACAGGCAGTGATCCCATTGGAACCATATTCCCCACATATCTCTCCTCTGTTCCCCAGAGTCCAGCATCCACCTTTCACTTCATCCCTTTTCTTCTTCCTTAGGAGGCCACATGGTATAGAGACAAGGCAGGGACTCTGGGGTTAGACTGAAACAGCCCTGCTGCTTACTCACTCTTCACACCCCAATACTTACTCTGTTTGTGACCTCATTTCTGAACCCATCAGAGCCTCCAGAAGCTCAACAATGTTGTCACAGACAGGCTTTTTAATGTTTCCACTCTGCCATCCTCAGGGGTTTAGGGTTTCATCCTGTGCTGGTTGTTTCATGGTCCCAATATAGCTGCCAACACTCCAGCCTTCATGTCTACATCCAAGGCTGGAAAAAAGGGAAGAATGACAGTAAGCCTACCTTTCTTATTCTGATTTAATTCATTAAAAAAGCAAAAGCTTTGTCCTGGCCAGTTTGCCTCAGTGGTTAGAACGTCGGCCTGCGGACCAAGGAGTTCCAGGTTCAGTTCCGGCCAAGGGCATGTACTTCCGTTGTGGTTTATCCCTGGACGGTTGGGGTCATGTGGGTGGCAATTGATTGCTGTGTCTCTCTCACATCAATGTTTCCCCCCCACCACACACACACTCTGTCTGAAGATAAATGTAAAAATATCCTCAGGTGAGGATTAAAAAAAAAAAAGCAAAAGCTTTTCAGTACCTCATATCCCCCTGGCCACAGTGGCTATGCCTAGCTGCAAGAGAGCCAGGCAGCCAGCCTCTGGCTTGATTCAGTGTGTTTAGAGGTAAGTGGTGAGGCAGAGGGGGTGGATGGATGATAATTGTTGGGTTGGCTGCCCAAGAGTACGGGCATCCCCAACCCTCCAGATTTCCAATGAGCCCCTTCATCATTCTCTCATTGTTCTCACCTCTTCCCTTCTAGAAGAAAGCGTCTGTGACATGGTAGGGTTAGTTGCCTGCTTTTTTTTTTTTTATCCTCATCCGAGGACATTTTTCCATTTTTTGTTCAGATAGAATGGGAGGGGGAGAGAAAGAGAAACATCGACGTGAAAGGGACACATCAAATGGCTGCCACCCACACAACCCCAACCGGGGCCGGGGACAAACTGCAACTGAGGTACATGCCCTTAGCGGGAACCGAACCCGGGTCTCTTGGGACCGCAGGCTGACGCTCTAACCGCTGAGCCAAACTGGCCAGGGCATTTGTTGCCCGCTTTTAATAGGTTTTCATCCCTGCATCCCTGATTCCAAGACCCGGTTTCTTTTTGTGTCATAGACAATGAGTTGAATACAGGCAGGTTCAGGATTAAAGCAGAATGCCAGGACTGTGGTTCTGGCGGTTCCCACGGAACTGCCCCTCCCAGGCAGACTGAGGACCCACCCAGAGACGGAGCTGCCAGATGGAACCAGAATCATGGCTGAGAAGGAGGCCTGTGCGTGTCTGTGTGCGTGCACATGCGTGCACACATGACGTCACCGCCTCACTCCGTGGGGGCTTGGAGCTTCCCAGGGCTGCTCAGGAATGGGCTCCTTGCGTTTTTCAGGTTTGGGGTGATCCACTCGGTGTTCACCAACCTGCTTCTGTGGGCCAACAGCGTCCTGAATGAGTCAAAGCACCAACTGAACGAGCACAAGGAGCGGCTCATCACCCTGGGCTTTGGGAACATAACCATAGGTGAGTGCTGACCGTGGCCCTGCCGCCACGTCGGCGGCTCGGAGGCCTGCAGAGACCAGAGAAGAAGGCGGAGCTTTCAAAGACCTGCAGGGCCGCCTGGCTCAGGTCGGTCAGACAACCCTCTGTTGTTGGAGCCTCTCCTCCTGGCTCCATAGACAGGGTGTGCTGAGCATAATGAGAGGTTCCTCCGTGCCTCGGGCTTGTCAGACCCCAGGGTTATCATCGGGCTCACCCTCTCCATGGTCCAGGTTGGTATGGAAATGAATGTCTTTGTTTACAACCGTGGAAGACCGGCGGTTGTTTCGGACTGTGTTTCATTAAGCCTTTATGACCAGTTCTTTCTACTAAAAGTATAGCTTTCGAAAAGCCATCGAAGTCTAATGGTAGGTTTCGGTTCACTGGTTTTAGTTCATTTGAAGTTTTGTGGAACTCTACTGTGCTTATAATTTCAGTTCATCTTGATGCCTCCTCGCCGCTGTGTGAGCCGGCAGCACTGATCTTTCTTTCTTTTTTTTTCTTTTTTTTTTTTTATCCTCACCCGAGGACATTTTTCCATTTTTTGTTCAGGTAGAGTGAGAGGGAGAGAGAGGGAGAGAGAGAGAGAGAAACATCGATGTGAAAGGAACACATCGAGTGGCTGCCACCCGCACGACCGACCAGGGCCGGGGACAAATTGCAGCCGAGGTACATGCCCTTAGCAGGAACCGAACCTGGGTCTCTCCAGACCGCAGGCCGACGCTCTAACTGCTGAGCCAAACCGGCCAGGGCAGCACTGATCTTTCTTATTCTCCTCCGACGTCCTGAGGCTTTTGTGACCTCTCATTTCTGCAGAGCACGAAGGTCGAGAGGAATGTAGGGGAGAGGAAAGTACAATGTACTGGGCACTGGATGCCTTGGGTTTGGGTCTTGTTCCCATCACATACTAGCTGTGTGACCTTTGGAAGCCACTCAACCTCTCTGAACTTTCCTTTTCTCATTGGTGAAGTGAGGGGATGTGAACCATGTACTTTCAAAGGGCTCTTCCAGCTTTATTGTGTTATACATCTCTACTACCTGTAGGACCCCAGACGGTCATGGGGAGCATCGTTAAACCAGTTTCCTCACCTGGGGGGGTGATGCAATCGGGGCACACGCTATATTTCTGCACCACCCCGGACCAGCAGCCCACTCTTGGGAAGGTCCTTTTCTCTTTGGGGCTCATTTCCTCCTTGGGATCAGTAACAGTAACCAAACTGACAACAGTAACAGAAACAAAGTTTTGCGAGGCATCTGCTGAGTGCCAGGTACTGAGGTGGCTCACTGAACGCTGTCCCAGCATTCTGAGGCACCCCCTTGTGTGAATGAAGCCATTGCACACAGAGCAGTCAAGTAACTAGCCCAAGATCACACAGCAAGTGAACGAGCAAGCCAGGATTTGAATCCTAGCAATTTGGCTCCAGAGACTTCTGTGAGAGAGGGGATTCAATTAATTTTTTAAAAAGGGCTCCATCAGCTCTAATGTTCTGTTAATCTGAACCTTCCCTCTTGATTTCTTCCTGTGTGTTTGCGTTGTACCGTGTTGGGTTACAAGTGAGAGGAAACTCCTTATAAGTGGAGAATTGCAGTGTTCTGCAAAAGTGAGGGTGAGTGATGCTACCACAGAGCATTTATTCATATGATAAACTAGAACAATGATAAAGTGCATAGAAATAAATCCACAATAGTATCTACCCAGAAATTTAGTTAAATGCACTTACCATTTGGTTATTTCTTTGTAGTGTGTTATTTATTTATAGTTGAGATCATACTGCATATTTTTAATCTTTATTTTGACTGAAACCTATGATAAGAAACAAACTGTACATTACAACCCAAATGCACACACATTTGTAAGTGCACACACATAGATTATGAAATAATAATCAATATATCAAAGACACTCTCAAATTTCTGGTATATTCCATTCCATTCATTCTATCTTATTCTATTCCGTTACAATTCTGTTCTGTTAAAAAAGTGGTTGCTACTTTCTAAATTGATTTTACAATGGAATACTGGGTTGTGATATGCATTAAAATACTGGATATAGAATTTGTTTTTATGTTTTTTTTCCATTGTTACTGTAACATGATTATTTTCTTGTATCATTGAAACACAACTATAATTTTTAATGGCTGCCTCCTACTCCATTGTATGTATGTACCAAAATCCACGTAACAGTTTCTAAATTGTTGCACATTGAGATGTTTCTCTCTCTCTCTCCCTTGCGCACACACACACACACACGGACACACACACACACATGCACAATTTTACCTAAAGCTTTCATTGTATTTTTTATTTGTCCCTTAGAATAGATTGGAATTATAGGTCAAAGACTATACTGACATCATCTTTAAGGCTTTTGTTCAGTATTTCATTATTTATTCACAGCGTTTTCCCCCGGGTTGTGAACTGTTTCTTTGTATCATTGCCAGTGTCTTCCAGAAGGTGATGCCAACGTGCCCTCCTGCCGTCGGGGTTCGAGGGTGCCTGTCTCCCGCCCCACTTGCTAGCATAGGGTCTTCTCAAGAGGAAAATCTTTGCTAATGAGAAGGGGCATTTTCCCTCACACAGTTATTTTTTAGTAATAATTTTTAAATCACACATTTAACTATATTCACGTTGAAAGTTCATAAAACCCAGGAAGCAAAATCTAGAAGCAAATAATGGATTGTGCACCAGAAACACAATGTTAATTGTTCATTAGGGCTCAGTGAAGCTGGGGAAAGGGACATAGGAAAGTTTCCTTTACTGAAAAAAAAAACAGAGAAATTAGCTGCCATTTTTCCTCCCAGAGATTAACCATTGTTAACATTTTCTTTGATGCCTTTCCAGAATTTTCTATGTCTGTCTGTCTATCTATCACGTCTGTCTGTCTGTCATCTAAAGCGGAGTTATGCCCTAGCCTCTTTGGCAAGCTGCTTCTCTGTTTAACAGTATCTTGGGAATAATCCGCAGTGAAAACATGTCTTTGTGCTTTTCCATGGCCCGCGGCCGCCGCTTCTAGTGCTGGACGACCACACGCCTCCGTGCAACTGCTCCGCGCCGACCCTCTGCTCCGCCGTCTCCCACGGCATCTACCTCCTCTACCCTTTCAACATCGAGTACCAGATCCTGGCCTCCACGATGCTCTACGTCCTGTGGAAAAACATCGGGCGCCAGGTGGACGGCCACCAGCACCGGAAGATTCAGTTCAGGTGGCACGGGGTCACGGTGGGCTCGGCGCTGGGCCTGACCGTGCTGGCGGCCACCATCGGGGTGGTGGTCGTGTACCTGATCCAGATCGGGCGCTCCAAAACCAAGAGCGAGTCCGCGCTCATCATGTTCTACCTCTACGCCACCGCCTTGCTGATGCTCATGGGGGCTGCGGGGCTGGTGGGGATCCGGATTCACAGGCTCGACGAGCCACCGCTCGATGAGTCCAAAAACCCGGCCCGCAAGCTGGACTCGGACCTCTTGGTGGGCACGGCGTCCGGCTCCTGGCTGCTCTCCTGGGGCTCCATCTTGGCTATCCTCTGTGCCAAGGCCCGCCCCGTGTACACCTGGTATAACCTGCCCTACTCCGTCCTGGTCATCATCGAGAAATACATCCAGAACCTTTTCATCATCGAATCCGTTCACCGGGAGCCAGAAAAGCTCTCCGAGGACATCAGGACCCTGCGGGTGGTCACGGTCTGCAGCGGCAGTGACCCATCCCTTGCTTCTTCCAGCCTCAGGAGCGGAGCTGTGGCCGGGGACGTGGCTCCCCAGGTTATCCAGATGCCACCTGCAGTGAACGGAAATCTCTGTTCGAGAGAAGCCAGTGGCAAAGGGGAGGCAGAGCCGGGCGGGGGAGGGGCCCCGGGCCCAGCCTGCCGCCCCCGCTTCCTTCAAGGCAACGCCAAGAGGAGCATCTTGAGGAACATCGCGGCCTTTTTGTTCCTCTGCAATATTTCGGTAATCTGTTACTTATTTTTTAAAAAATCAATTAATTGGTTTCTTTTGCCCTTTTCCAAAAAGGAATGGAGGTAGCTTGTCATCAAACAAATTTAGTGTGAAGTTAAACAATGAGGCTGGAAGGTAGGTCTGTCGGCTACCAGTCCACTGACTGAGTGTCTGCTGTGTGCCAGAGCTGTGGTGGCAATTGAGATCACAGGCGACAAGAGGCAATCTTCCCTCAGAAAGGTCACAGTGGTGAGGGAGGTAACGAGGAACAAATACAATGCAGTGAATATGGCAAGTACTGGGACGGTGCATGCAAGGTGCAGGAGGAGCAGGGACCCAGGGAGGGCCTTCAGGGAAGAGGGGGTGCTTGAGGCGAGGCCCAGTCTTACTTAGGAGGTGCTTCTGGCTGCACCAGCAGTATCCCCAGCCTTACCGACAAGCGTTCCGGAGGTTAGCTGCTGGGGGTTGGCCTGGCAGCTGGCCTATCACCCAGGATCCAGGCCCGTTCACCTTCCCACCCCACCACGCTTGGTGTGGCATTTGTTGCCACATGGTCATAAGATGGCTGCAGCAGCACCAGGCATCATGCCTGGATTCAAGACAGAGCGAAGGGGGAAATCACCGGTGCCAGGTGATGTCTTTCATGTGGCCACTTCTAGCTGCAAGGGAGGCGGAAGAAGTGGGTGGTTTGCTTTCCAGCCTCTATCATGGAAGGTCGCAAGGTAGAATAAGTACGATCAGTCACTCAATATCGTCTGCCTCAGCCTCAAGGGTAGATGGTGATACTACTGATGGGGACTGAGGACTCTGAAGGGGGAGCAGACTTTGGGGGAGCTCCGTGTGGAAGGCAGACTGTGTGTTTGGTCCTGGACACGCTCAGTTGTGAGACATCTGTGAGAACACAGCCACCAGGCAGGCAGCTGTTGGTTTTCTTTTTCTTTCTTTTTTTTTTTTATCCTCACCCGAGGACATTCTTCCACTTTTTGTACAGACAGAGTGGGAGGGAGAGAGAGGAAGAGAGAGAAAGGGAAACATCGATGTGAAAGGGACACATCGAGTGGCTGCCACCCGCACGACCAACCAGGGCCGGGGACAAACTGCAACCGAGGTACGTGCCCTTAGCGGAAACCGAACCCGGGTCTCTCCGGACTGCAGGCGGACGCTCTAACCGCTGAGCCAAACCGGCCAGGGCTTCTTTTTCTTTCTTAATAATTTTTCTTTATTGATTTGAGAGAGAGAGGAAGAGAGAGACAGAGACATTGATTGGCGGCCTCCTGCATGCCCCCCACTGGGGATTGGGCCCACAACCTGGGCATGTGCCCTGACGGGGAATCAAACCTGTGACCTCCTGGTGCGTGGGTTGACACTCAACCACTGAGCCACACCTGCCGGGGTGCTGTTGGTTTTCTGTTGCCGTGTAACATGACCCCAAATGTCTGACCAAACAATAACCATTTTATTATGTCTGATGACCTTGTGGATTAGAAGTCCCGGGGGCTGGTATTCACAGCATGCTGTGTGTTATAACTGGGCGAGGGGATAAACGCGACACTGGGCCTGCGTGCAGAGAAGAGGGCTCAGATGGGAAATACTCCCATTCCTCCTGGTATTAACTGACGCTGGTGGATGGTGCGCTAGAGGGTCTGCGGCCGGGTGACTTGGGTGGGGGAGGCTGAGAGGCTGGACCCAGCCAGGACTCCTGCTGCGGCCTCTACGTGGTGACTGTCCAGCATGCGGTCTCAGGGCCGGCGGGTGACTTCTTACGTGGCGGTCCAGGGCCCCAGGGCCAACCTCCTAAGCACTGGAGCACAAATCTCTTGAGGCCTGGGGGTGGACATTGCCCAGCATGAGTTCTGCCCTATTTTATGGGTCAAGCAGTGACAGAGTCCTGTAGATTGAAGGGAAGGGGACATAGACCCACTTCCCGGGGTGAGTAGCAAGAACTACAGCCACCATGACAGCAGACAGAAAGATCTGGATTTAAGGAGTGAGCCCCAGTCCTCTCCTTCCTTCCTTCCTTCCCCTCGTCCCTCCCCTCGTCCCTCCCTCCTGCCGAGTGACAGCCTCGGCCAGGCACAGCTGGGAGTGACGGCCTGCGACATGACCAGCTCTCTGGCCTTCCTCCTGTGGGCTTGCAGACCAGCTGGCAGGGCTGGCAGCAAACGGGCAAACAGGAGAAAGACCCGACAGTGGCCAGTGTTCTGCAGAGAAGCGAGGGAGGGTGGACCGACCACGGGCGGCCAGCGTGGGTCAGAGGCCTCTCTCGGGCAGCTCCAGCGAGGGCTGACCGGCAGGGCGGGGCTGGCTCGAGGGCTCCAGGAGGGGGAGCAGCCGGTGCGGTGGGAGTGAGGGAGGGGGAGGGGCCATGTGACGGCTGGGTAGGTGGGGGACAGTCCGGGAGCTGGGTTGCAGGGGGTGGTAAGGGATCAGCTCACAGAAGGACTTATAACCTCATGTAGGGGGCAGATTTTATTTTACACATTCTGTGAAGACTTTGGGGGTGTAATTAGGGGAGACACAAGATCTTATTTACATAAAAACAAGCAGGGGGGGCAGTTGGGTGGCCACGGCTGTGACCGGGCGAGAGCTGAGGGCGGAGGCCTGGACAGGTGGCCGTGGAGAGAAAGGGGGACTGAGGGGCACAGCTGTCAGGACTCACTGATGGATTGGATGGCAGGGTGGTGGTTATGGGAATCAAGGGCAAAACGAGGTGCCCCCTGGAGTTTAACTGAACAACTGGAAGGAAGATGTTGCCGACGAGATGGGGAAATGGGGCAGGTGTGCAGAGTTCGAGGTGCATTTAGACACCCGAGGGGCCAGTGGGTACACGAGCCCGGGGCTCTTGAGGGTGCACCGGGCTGGAGCCTTGCACTGGGAAGCCGCGGGCTGGCGGCTGGTGCTCACAGCTGGGTACGTTGCATGTTGTACCCGGGAGCGGGGGTGAGCATGACGCTGGGCCTCGTGTGCAGAGAAGAGGACCCAGGCATGAGCCCCGGGACCAGCCGACAGGAAGAGGCTGAGCAGGGGAGGCGGGCGCCAAGGAGACGGGGAGGACCCGGCCGGGTGGCAGGAGGACCCTGCCCGTCGCGGAACCCAGACGGCACTGTGGGACGGAGGGGTGAGCCTAATGACAGCCGCCTTATCAGCTGCCTGTCGCTGTGTAGACGTCACCCCCACCCAGTGACTGTCTCACGGTTTCTCTGGGTCAGGAACCCAGTCCTGGCGCCTCTGCTCAGGGCCTCTCGCGCCGGGCAGTCCAACCGCCAGCTGGCTGCAGTCGCTTCAACACTGGACTGTTGGGGGGGAGGGGACCTGTTTCCCGCCCACTTACGCGACTGCTGGCAGGTTCTGTCCCTTGCTGGCTGTGGGCCTGAGGCCTCCCTGGGTCTTGGCCACATCACATGGCCTCTCCACAGGGCAGCTCACAGCGAGGTGGCTGCTTCCTCTCTTGCGAGAGGGGACGAGCAAGGTGGGTTCCAGGGTCCTCTGTCACCTGATCCCAGAAGTGACATCCCATCACTGTGCCCTGTTCTGTTTGTTGGGAGCGAGTCACTAGGTCCAGCCCAGCTGGAGGGGACAGGGCTCCGTGAGGCTGTGACTGCCAGCAGGTGAGGTCCCAGGGGCCAGCCGGGAGGCTGCCCGCCGCAGCGGGGTGCAGGGAGCTGCAGAGGTGTGCCGAGGGAAAGAGGAGGGACCTGGGAGCCTGACAGTTTGAGGGGAGGTGGAGGCCCAGGGACAGGGAGACTGAGGAGGGGCGACCAGTGTGTAGCTTCCATGAGCAACAAAAATAATAGGTTATTGCTTTAGGTTTTGCAGAGTAGTTGCCATTTTATTCTCGTCTGAACCCTCTGACAGGTGTTCGCATCCCCATCTTACAGACGAGCACACTGAGGCTTGAGGAGGTTACAGTCTACAAATAGCATGAATTCAGGCCTGGCTCCAAAGCATGTGCTCCTCCCCCTGATCAGGGGGTGCAGGCAGGGTCTGGGCTGCCACTCTGAGCCAAGGACAGGCCAGAGAGGAGACCACAGAACTCACAGCCCAGACCTGCGTGGCCAGGATCTCCACGCACCGTTGTTGGGTCGTAAATGCAGGTGTGCAAATGGGCGGCCTCTGCTGTGGGTGAGCACCGGGGGCCCGGGGACACAGAGGGCGCTCCTGCCCAGGCTGGTTAGATCAAGGAGGACTTCCTGGAAGAGGTGGTGCCTCAGGGCTTGGAGGAAGGTAGGATTCATCAGGGGGAAGCCAGGCAGTCCCTGCTGGAGGAAGAGGCAGGAGCAAACCCTGGAGGCTTGGGAAAGAGAGGGAGGGTGCGCAGCCTCTGACAGGTGTGACTCAGTCTCCCAGCCCAGGGGGGCCCTGGGATTTGTTGGGGTCTCCTAGGCTGTGGCATGGATGGTCTCCCTTCTCTTACAGCTTTGGATCCCTCCTGCCTTCGGCTGCCGCCCTGAGTACGACAATGGATTGGAGGAAATCGTCTTTGGCTTTGAGCCCTGGATCATTGTGGTGAACCTGGCCATGCCCTTCTCTATCTTCTACCGGATGCACGCAGCTGCCTCGCTCTTCGAGGGCTATTGTAAGCTCTAGTCTGCGTTCACACGGAAGGCCCAGGCCCGGGGCAGCGAGCAGGACGCCCGCAGCCACCTGGGAGTGGCCAGGCTGTGCAAACACCGCCCCACACACCCCAGAAGGCTGCCTTTTGTCTGCAGTGCTTGTTTGCTGTGGGTGGGATGGGCCAGCGCCCTGATGGATGCAGACAAGTCAGGTCAGAAATCAGTGAGGTGTCTGAAGTCTGCGAGTTCGCTCATTCTAATCAAACCCCAGTTATTTTGTCTCCTTCTAAATGAGGTCCTCTGTTTTTGAAGAATGTGATCCCAGGTTGGAAGAAAATTTTATGTAGTTTGTTCTCCCTAAAAATCATTTTCTGTGTGTAATTTATCGCATTACCACATTCAGCCTTTTACTGACCATCTGTGTAGGCTAAACAGCCTTAGAGTTCATGCTCCCCAGAGCTGTTGAATGTGGAGATGATCACATTTAGTATATATTGTGCTTTCTGAATGTGTTTAATTTTTTGAACAGAGCTATTTTTTATCATTTGGATGGAGATTTGTGCCTAGATCAATAGGAAGACCTATTTCTTACCTGAAAAATTGGCACATTTTCATTTGTGATCATTTTGAAGTTTTTAGAAAAATATATATATTTTACTACTTTCTCCCTCTTACTATAAATACATACATGCTTTTAATAAAATGTCTGGATATTCCAGAAGAGCGAGAGAAGAATCACCCAGGACACCACTGGTAGATGGACAATCACTTTTGACATCTTGGTGTATTTCTTTTTGCCCCTTGGACGAGCCCGAGGCCTCTCGTTGTTGTTGTTGTTGTTGTTGTACTTGCCAGTGTGATGAGGCGGCCACTCTGGGTGCGTTTCCCTCCCGAACCTCAGCCACACACCTCTCTCCCTGCGGTTAGAAATGCTTTGACCCTTTAACACTGTTCTACAGTCCATCACGTAAGTGTGTCATAATGAACCTAGTTTCCTGGTGTTGCTTTTAGTGTCTATAACTTTTTTCCTTTATAAGTGACTTTGTAGAGCTTTTTTCTATATTCAGAATTGTTTCTTTAAGGCCTGTACTTAGGACCGGAATGCCTGTTCCAAACTTATAAATGTGCCTCTTACGGATTATTAGCAGTTGGGAGAGGCCTTTGTATATGTCTTGCCAGACTTACTTTAAAATGATAATAAAGTTAGTTTACTTACTATAAATACTAATATCTTTTCATCTGAGTGAGATACTTTTTTTTTTTTTTTTAACAGCACCGGCAATGAGACATTAAACACTGAATTTTTTTACACGACTAAAATATTTCATGTTCATTTTAGAAAAAAAAAACAACTAAGAAATGGGCAGATATGCTAGAAACAAAGGAAAACATCACCTAACATTTCTTCCATCCAGCGTCTCTCCAGCTGCTGCAACCTTGTTCCCCAGGGAGCTCAGGCACTGCTTGCTGACACTTTCCGTCGTTACCACGGGGGGGCGTCCCTGGCACCTAGTGGGGAGAGGCCTGGGATGCCGCTAAAGATCTGCAATGCACAGGAGGGCCCCCACACAGGGTATTGTCCGGCCCCAGATGTTAATAGTGCCGAGACCGAGAAATTGCAATATAGTGGTAATTGCTGTTAATCTTGGGTCCCTATTAGTAAACACACACACACACACACACACACTCACACACACACACACGGATTGTTTTTACATACAGTACACTGAATCTGCCTGGAATTGCCCTTTCTCTCTGACTGTACCAGCATGCTTCTTCACTCTGTTAGGGTCCCCATGGCATGGATGCTGACACGCGAGTGTGCGCACGACTCGTCTAGGGAGCTGTCAGGGGTCCCGCCCCCCCATCCATAAGTGCAGCTTCCACTGGGCTGGCACGAGGCCCAGGAACATGCTTCTAGGAGACCCGACCTCGATTTGTCTCCCGTGTAGCTCTTCCCAGGGGGCCCCATCCCTGGGACTCGGACACCAGGAAGACCTCTCGCTCACCTGCCACAGCCTCACCAGGAGGAGCCCGTGCATCTGGTAGTTCGAGCTCGTTCACCCCTGATCTGCCATCAAGCCAGGATCGAATTTGTGTTTTGGGGTACCACAGCCCTTGGTGAGGCAGAGGGGGAGGGCAAAGGCTCTGGAGGTGGACACTCAGGGCCACACCAGCCCCCTTGTCTCTCCGCCGCGAACATCACTTGTGAAATCCAGCTGGGGCGGTCACTGCCACTGGGCTCTCTGTGTGACCCTCGCACCCAGCATGTGTCCCTGCCGGAGGGCCTCAGCTCCAGGCCGGCCCGGTGAGGCAGGCATTACTCCTCTGTCGGGCCAGGGAGCCTCTGACGACGACCACGCAGCTGGTCAGTTGAAGCATTTGGACTGTTAGGCCTTCTTAAAACTCATTGCCTTTCCTCTCTATGATCTTACAAAGAAAGTCAATGGGGTAAAAATATCCATCAAACACTTACTTGAGCCTCTGTGTACAGAACAGTCCAACAGTGGACGGATATTCATTTTCCACCCAGTTATAAAATGCGACCCGTGGCTTAAAATGATGAAGGAGCGAAGTTACCAGAGAATAGTTGGTGTTTCTGCCCTGAACGTACAAAGGTTTGCTGTGGGAGAGTACAACCAGCAGGGGGCGCTGGCGCCCTTTCTTTCTGAGTCCTCACGGGCACGTTCGGGTCAAATGAGGCCAGGGACCTGGTGGGCCGGAAGCAGCGTCAAGGTAACAGATGGAGGATGGGCGCCAAATGCTGGGCTGTCCTCTGTCTGCAGCGTTGTCCAAAGCTGTAGCGTCACTGCTCCCAGGTGCGGATGAAGAGGATTCTGAGTTTTCACAGAACTCATTAAGTTTCAACAAAGATGCTCCCTCCACCTGCCCCCACCTCTTCCCACTCCCCGTGGGGCACTCTTACCCCATCAGAGGCTTCGGAGGAACACGATGGGTGCGGAGTGTTTCCCAGCTTGAAGGTGGCGGGGACAGTACTTCCGCGGGGTCTGATGGGGAGTGACTGTGACGTGCTCCTCCTCAGAGCGGGCCCCAGGGGACCACGAGAAGGGGACAGAAGGATGAACGCAGTGCTTATTGCTCGACGGGATGGAAGTGCTGGTCTAGTGTTTCAGCCACACTAATACGAAACACAACAATGATCGTAATGATAACTGTCTAAAAATGTACATTAAATCAAGCCACCCGCTAAAAACCCTTGAACGGCTTCCCATTGCTTTTGGAAGAAAGTGTAAACTCCTAACCATGGTCTACTGGGATCTTCATGATCTGCTCTCTGACACTTCATCTTCTTCTCATGCAATCCCTTCCTCTGCCTCCCCCTTCCCCAGGCACCCCATGGGCACGGCTGCAGCCACACATGTCTCCCTTCACTTCCTTGAATTTTCCAAACTCTTCTGTGCCCCAGGACCTTTGCACAGCCTACTCTCTCTTAGGAGTGTGTTTCTCTGGCTCCTTGAGGTGAATCAGTTTCTTTCTCATCCTTTAGACCATGTGTAGAGGTCTCTTCATAGTGAGCAGTGCCCCCCCGGTCATATAGATACACATACTCCCTACTATGCCTCACCTTGGTACCCTTTGCCACTAGTTGTTTTTTGTGCTTGTCTATCCTGGAGAGGACTGTCTACTTGTGAGAGTAGAGACTTTACCTCTTTCTCTCCCAGGGCCTCACCACCCAGCTTGTATGAACACGCGTGCTGCCCTCACCACACCAGACTGTTGCGGGGGGAGGGGAAGCACCAGGAACACGGTGTGCACCCATGAGTGGTGTGCTTCCTGGAATCGTTTTTAAGACCTTGGCAGAGACTCACTCACTTTCTGCTTGCTTCTGGTATATGCCCAGCCCTCCATTAGCCTTTCAGGCAGCAGGGGGCGCTCTGAGCCTGGCTGGTGATGGAGGGTGCAGGAGAGCCACGCCCGCTCTGCTTGCTCTGGGTCAGGAGGAGCAGGGGACCTGTCTCTACAGAGCCTTGCGGTGGCGCTGCTCTGTCCTCAGAAGGGGAGAACCACAGCCAACGGCTTCTGGCCACGGCAGGAAGTGAAGAGCCCACAGCCTAAAGTGCCGCCTGCAGGTCTGGCAGATGTTTCTGGAACACCAGTTTGGGCGATTGGTCTATGCCAAGCATAATAAGCCCACTCCACCTCTGCTGGATTGGTATAGAGGTGGGCATGTAAATAGTTCTAGACCAGGTGTTGAGAAACGATGCCCATGGGCCAAGAATGCTTTTTACATATTTGAAAAGTTATAAAAACCAAAAAACAAACAAACCACCATATCAAAAGAATATACTGCAGAGACCATATATGGCCCATAAAGTCTCCAATGTTTACTCGCTGGCTCTTTGTACGTTTGCTGTTCTTGAGAATGAAAGGTAAGGGCCTCGCTGCACAGCCTGGAAGGATTTTGAGAGAGATGAGGTCCGCCTCTCTCCCTGCCGGAACGTGACCGTGGGGTGAAGTCAAGCCCAGAGGGCCTGTGGGGAGCACACACTGCCTCTCAAAGATGTCCTCATCCTAATGCCTGGAGCCTGTGAGTGTGTCTCCTTGCACGGCAGGACTTTGCGCATGTGACCAAGTCCAGGATCTTGAGGTGGAGAGTTTATCCTGGATTATCTAGGTGGGTCCAATGTCATCACAAGTGTCCTGATAAGACGAAGAGGGCGAGGCAATGCTCACCGAGGCAGAGATTGCAGTGATGTGGCCACAAGCCAAGGAATGCCGCAGCCACCAGAAGCCAGCAGAGGGACCTCTGCTGATGGCCCTGCAAACATCTCGATGTAAGTCCAGGAAGAGTCATTTTGGACTTCTCACCTCCAGAACTGTAGGACAATCATTTGTGCTGTTTAAAGCCATTAGAACAAACTACTACAAACTTGATCTTGGCTCCATCTGCTTTTCTCCACTTCTGCCCCTCGCCGCCCTACTTCAAGTCTTTGCCGTCTGCTGGCGGGCCTCCTGAAGCAGGTTCCTCGTCGTTTCTCCAATTCAGCCTCTGCCCCTGCTGGTCCACCCTTC